CAAGGAGGGTGCTAACTCTTCAATAACATAGGGATGATTGTTATGAAATGTACAATTTTGGATCTTGTACACTAATATGTTGAGTTATTGATTAAAAAAAGTTAGATAGTTCAGTTGAACACATGCCACAACAAGTAGACTAAACCCCACTGTAATGGCCCTGTGTGGCCCAAGGGCTGCAGAAATTGAGATAGGCACTACCCTTATACACCATAACTTAGTCTTTATGTGGAAGTATATAAGGGCACACCTGTTTGCTTTAGCTTGAGGACTTGGCCACCACTGGTGCCGATGTAAAGGTTTCCTTCATTGTCCAGTGTAGGGGAGGATAGAACCTCACCTCTCAGCTTCCTCTCCCATCTCAGCTCCCCTTTTTCAATGTCAACAGCAACAACAGACCCTCCATTGGTTCCTATTCAGAGCATAAGAACAGCACATGTCTGCAATTTAAGGAAACTTAACTACTACAAGAAATGAGAGACATGTAAATCATGTTGAATATAAAACAGCTGATGTATTTTCCAGACATGATTCAAAGATCTGTTTCAGTATCTCAACAAGTACTACAGTATGGTGCATCATCGGAGACACCTAGCTATTCCTTCAGTACTGCAGCTATTGAAAATTTTACGACTGGTCAGTTTTCGTATTTCAATTTAACCTTATCTTTCATTTCCGTTGTACATGAATATGCCTGACAGTTGTAGAAATCTAAATTGAATCTTGGCTGACGTCAAAAGACATTTTTCTGATGGAAAGATACAGTCAATAAAAGACGGAGCCTTATCAGTTTGCTTAGTCTATCCAGGCTGTGTAATGGTCCTGATGGCTTGCATGCTTGACAGACTATAAATTATTTGCAGATTCCAACCTACCAACAAATAAAGTTCCATCTGTGGCAATGGCAGGTGTAGAGTCTATCCCATCATGCTCTTTTCCCACATCAAACGTGCTGACAGGAGTGCCAGTGTCTGCCTGCAGGGTGTAGATGTGAGAGTCCTGGCAGCTGAAGAGCACAGACTGACCGTCAGGACTCAGGACTGGAGAGGACCAGTTGCTACCACCAGCTTTAAATGACCACACTAGATTCCCTGGAAATGAAAAAATGTAATTGACCTTCATTACTTCCTTGTGCTATAAAGATGATGTATGATAGTTATTACATGTACCAAAATTGCATTAGCACATGTTCAATGAGGAAGTTATAGATTAACTCACCATGTGCCTGCTTTGATATGGTACGTACAATATGGTATGTACAATAGAAAAATTATACCATTAAACCTTGATTAAACTATTACATCTAGGATATCTAGTCCTTTAACAGACTAAATACAACTTATAATTCAAAGAATAATTTCCAACACCATTGCAGTGTTAACCTTGACATTAAAAGGCCTTACCTGTCTGTGAGTCTAGTGCAAAAAGCGTTGTCTTTGTTGTCTGCCATGACACCTACATACACCAGCCTTCCACCACTCCCCATGGCAGGACGTCCCCAAATCTCCCCACCCAGGTCACGTGACCACTTCACCAGCCCATCAGGTTTGATGGCATAAATGTGGTTCTCCAAGGTGCCAACATACACGGTACCATCCCGGCCAACCACAGATGGACTTCTGACTGGCCCTGGAAGCAAACACAGTGGACGTCTTGGACTTGCAGCACAGTTTCAATCCAATGGACTTATCTAGACTTGACTGCTTTTCAAAGAGTTTGACCAATTTAGAATAATATTAATTAAAGCTGTTCCTAAAAAAGTTAAGTACAATACGGATATCAATGAAAATGGAGGTATGCAACCTGTTACTGCTTATGACAATGCCCTTGGCTGTTTGCTAACCTATTTTCACTGTCCATACTGAATGCCCATCCTTCACACGCAGGGCGTTCATGTAGCCATTCTCAGACCCAAAGTACAGCACAGACTGGTCAGGACTGAATGCAGCAGTGGACCCCAGATCCTCTTCTAGATGATGGAGATAACAAAAGTCAAGCAGGTCAAGCAGGTGACAAAGAATAGGTAGTCGCATCATGTATGAGTTGTAAAAGAGCCTATTTCAATCTGTCATCACCTCTAATAAATTGCTAAAAGCTACAAGCAGAGGTACAGCGAGATTGACGGAAAAATACAGTACTTTAGAACATTTGAACCAAAACTATATAACATTATGTCTATACAAATTGTCTGTCCCTCTAGTGATTGACATAGCATTCCTGTTACTCTGTGACTAACCTGAGGTAAATGTCCACTTCACAAGTCCTGTCTCACCATCTAAGGCATACATCCTTCCATTGTCAGACCCAATAAATATTGTCTCATCTTCCTGATTGACGACATAAGTTAATTCTGTTTTCCCAGAATGTTTCTCCTCTTGGTGCTCTTCAATTGTAGACCCCATCCTAGTTAAATCATCATGGCTACCTGCATTTGGGTTTTCCATGATTCTGTACCATGTAGCATCATCTATGATTGGCTCTCCATTTACCCCAATCCTGACAGAGGCAAGGTTATCATCAATGTCACTCACAATTTTTTCACTTAATTTCAACTCAAGGACCTCTAAATTATTTTGTATATGCTCAGCATTCACAGATCTTGGTATCACAATAACACCTTTCTGTAGCGCCCATCGCAGGACAATGTTAGCTACAGAGGCATCCAAACTTTCCGAGAGTTTCAGAAGGAAAGTATTTGTGAAAACAGGGTTTGTATATTGTCCTTGCCTCATGTACATCCACTGTGTCCCCAGAGTGCTGTATCCCTGATACACGATGCCATGGCCTTCACAGAACTCTCTTGTAGCCTTGTCACGATAGAACGGATCAAACCAGTTTTGCACCAGAGAAACAGGCACCTCTGCCATGGCCACAAGCCTCTCCAGCAGGGGAGGGTAGAAGTTGCTGACTCCGAGACTTCTAAGTTTGCCTTGTCTGTGCAGCTCTTCCATGGCCTTCCAGGCAACTTCCCATGTGCCTTTGGGTTCATCAGGGGCGCACTGGAAGTAGTCAGAGCAATGAACATTGTGGATCAGGAACAGATCAATGAAATCAGTACCAAGTTTCCTAAGGGACACATCCACGGAGCGAGTTGTCAGCTCATGACCAAAATAACGTGGGCTGAGTTTACTGATGATGAAGATTTCTTCTCGGGGAATGCCAGAGTCCCTTATGGCCCGACCGATGGATTCCTCCGAGTGCCAGTATGCCTGAGCTGTATCGATCAATCTAAGAAAAAAACAAAATATGATTTTCATATCTTAACCACTTTCTCTCTATTGGTTAAATGTAACCATTATATCATGTTGACAAGAACAGATTCAACAAGAGATTGTCTACTGGATCAAAGACAAGTGTCACTGTGATATAATGTGTTGCTTGCCAGTCATCTTGTGGGGGCAGTACAGCCTACAGGCAGGTGCACACCCACATCCTCAATGGTACAACTTGTATGCATGCTTTAGTTTTACCTCTCCAGAGAGGTTGAGTGCCAGTGATAAGGGCCATCATGGGCTCCTTGAGAAATTTCACATCTAATGTGAAAACTGTGTTAGTCATTACTGTTGGAAGATACATGTATATCAATTGTAACATCTTACCTATACCCAGCTTTCAAAGCAGACAAAACAGCATCGTAAGTTTTGTCCCCCATTGCTGCTGTACCCAAGCCAAATACGGGAACTGAGGAAACATCATATATAGTATAGTGATGAAGATTATTCTGTGAAGGGTTACTCCAAGGACATTATACTCTGTGTATAATGTCCTTGGTTACTCGTAGATAGATGTAAAAATTGTATTTTTCACAGACCTAACACATAGTACATGCATGTTATCATGATATCAAACATAGAGTTGTCCATAACATGAAATCATATAACTGTTACACATGATGTAAATATTTGAATACAATTTTTCATCTATCTTAATTTAAAACAGGCAGATTTGTGGCTTACTTGTGTATCCACTGGCCATCTTTCTGTCAGGTAAAGGAGATGCTGTGTTCAAAGCATCTTGGACATCTAGTATGATGATGATGATGATGTATCGGTAACTGAACAGTGCTTTTTCCAACATGTCCCAGCCTGGTTCACTAGTAATGCAAACAACTTGGTCATAAAAGTATACACTATACTACATACCACGTGCACATACCGTAATGGTAGAAATTAAGATTTAGAAAGAGAGACTGGAGGGCTGGGCACCAGTCTACTGAGAGTTTGGTACTTTTGCAGCTACCCTGGGTTGTATGCATTATCCTCTGCTTTATTTTGACAGAATCATTTTCACTCTACTTAACGTTACTCATCCTGTCAACAGTATAAATTTTTCCACTATTGACAGGATCGTCTTGTCAGTAGTGCAGAATGATCAAAGATCCTGTTACTGACAGGATGATCCAGTGTCAATAGCCATTCCCCTATTCTTTTTAAAGGCGTCCTAAAGGGACCAAGGAACCAAGAAGGGAGCCTGAAGAAGGACCATATTATTAAAGTTATGCTTTAATAACTGTTACAGCTGTCTCCTTTTTACTTGCATGACCTCCTGCATATTTTCCAAAGTAACCTCAGTCCCATCTTGTAACATTTTAAGCCGTAACTTCCTTCCCTTTACCAAGAGTCCCAGGGACTTAACCAAATCGACACCAAACCGATAACCTATTGAAGGTATTTGAGAGATTGTTTACCTGGCCTTTGAGTCCTTTGGGCCTTTGGCAAGTACACGTGTCCACATTTACGACAGTGTACCATTTACGGCATACTCGAAATTACGACAGTCGGCTAGACAAAACTAACGGTATATTCAGCACCACACATTTTTGCAAAGCATGTCAAAGAAATTTGCTATAAAATAGAATTTGAGTATTATTTCTTGACTTCAAAAATAAGACAATTTATAAAGGTTATTTACTAGGGTATTGCGTACAAATGGCGATAATGATTTGACTGCAAAATTGAGCCGGCAAAATTCACATGTCCCGAATACTCTGCTAGGTTTATGGAATTACGGAAGCATATGCAACAACATGGCGGCTTACAGTGGTAAACTGTAACACGTGAAAAAAGTGCAAAATTTCAAGATTTTGCAACGTCCCGGCACAGAAATATTACATTCAACGGACTCCACACCCCAGAGATATCCATATTCTGCCTGGAGCCCTCACTAAACGTAAGTATTTTCAACTAAAATAACCCAAACTTTAGTGGTGTTTCGCAACATGCATCCTGAACGTTTTGTTTACCTGCGCCTGCTAAATTATGTAACTACGTAAGAAAGAATGAATTGTGACGGATTGTAAAAGAATTGACACTTAGCATCTTCCTTTTCCGCCCAAGATTTGCCAGGTTGATACCGTCAGCACTCGAGTGTCGCCATGAGGACAGTGACACCTGGCCAGCTGGCGCAGCTGCAAGGGAACCCACAGAACGTCAGGAACATCTGTATCCTGGCACATGTCGACCATGGTAAAGACTGCTGCTTCTGGTACTGAGCACTAACATTACAGACTACCAAGACAGTGACAGTCAATATACTTTCTGTCTGTTATGTTTCAGTATAGCCACTGTCAAGGTGTGCCACATGTAGAATGTGATTGGTAAAAATTATGATTTGTTTAACAGCTGGAACTGCAAAAGTCTTGGGTCTTTGAGTGGGAAGAGCAGTGAGAGTGGCAATTATATTTTCACTATTAATGTTACAGTTTTCAATGTTGATTGTTTTCATAGTCATTCACAGTCAAATGTTAACTCAAGAATATTAAAACCATAAAATTACCATTTCTTGATTTATTGTTACTCAGCACTTCACCATCATGATTCTTTTCTCAGGTAAAACAACTCTTGCAGATGTTCTTGTTGCAAGCAATGGTGTTATATCAAAGAGACTTGCTGGAAAAGTGAGTAACTACATCAGTATATGCAAAAGATGCCACATACAAAAACAATTAAGCTGCTGTATAAGTGTGAAAGTCCCAAGTAGCAGGCTCACAACAGAGAAGCAAATGTTGAGTTAGCAGCAATTGAAAGCTCAAATTGGCCTGCAGGTCACTTTTCATCGGGGTCATGAGGGAAGAGGTATGAGTCAGACGTTATATAGTATAAAGATCACATCATTTTAAGTCCTCCATAAGTCTATATATTTTACACATACATGCTTTAAATAGTTCAGACGTTGCACGCAGAAAGTAGAGATTATTGTAAATGTAATATTTCTTCCAAGTTTAACACAGCTTAAGGCAGCTAAGGATATTAATATACTAACTGAATAAGACAAAGACACCATCTTGACACATTGCTAGAAACTGGAAAATGACACATTGCTACTGTCCCTTTTGTGATGTCAGCTGCGCTACTTGGACAGTCGGGCCGATGAACAGATCCGAGGGATCACCATGAAGTCTAGCGCCATCTCACTGCAGTTTCAGAAAGGTCAGTGACCCTCTGTTTTGTTGCACTCATTTCATGGCAGTTATTGCCTCAGTAAGATTTAAATTTCACTGAGATTGAGAATGTTGGACATATCTGACCTGCTGATATGGTTGTCTGTTGTACAGAGAGTGAGGACTACCTGGTGAACCTGATTGACTCCCCCGGCCACGTGGACTTCTCCAGTGAGGTGTCCACCGCCGTCCGCTTGTGTGATGGAGCTGTGGTGGTGGTGGATGTTGTAGAGGGGGTGTGTCCACAGGTTGGCACAGCCTTCATACATACTGAACAGTAGGGCTTAGAATATTCTAAGTGAGGACGTCTCTACTGTACTTCTAGTCTAGACAGTGAAGTGTATTTACTGCTTGTCCAAGAATCATGCAAGAATCAAACGTTTAAAAATGGACTGTTTGTACAGTAAATAGTCAGAGCATCAAATAACTGTGGCTTGTTGTGATGAATTAGTTTTCTTTGTACTTAACACAGTTACCCCCGGTATGTTTGTTACTGTAGACTCATGCAGTACTGCGTCAGGCATGGTTGGAGAACATCAAACCTGTCCTGGTACTGAATAAAGTCGACAGACTCATCACAGAACTCAAGAACTCCCCCATGGAAGCACATTTGGTACTGCAGCAGGTTCTGGAACAGGTACACATACATTTGTAAGAATTATGTGGAATTCAGCCGGTGATAAATTTGCAATTGGGTGTAGTACATAATGTAGGAGCTTGTGTTGCAATAGCTGTAATCAGTAGAGTTGTTTAACTTTCCTTTGTCATCATCAAGATGCGATATGAAAAGTCAGTTTTATACCAACAGGTCAACTCTATTATGGGAAACCTCTTTTCTACTGATGTCATGAAGAAAGGAACAACTGTGAGTTTATTTTACATGTTCTGAAACAGCTTAGTCTAGCCTACTTTACCACAATGTTTTGCTGCTGCTCCTGCCATGATCAGTTTCGAGTGTTGATTTTGTATATGTGATTTTTGTAAGCTTTGAATGGATTATTGAATACTGATGTCATACAATGTACCTGCTGCTGCCTACACATGGATTTATGAAATACATGTATCATAAATTTTTCTCGTCACATGTTTGATTGCATGTTTGTATAGGCTACCATGGAGGCTAAAAATGAAGTGATCATTATTTTTGCCTTGATTGTAACTTACAGGAAGACAGTACCAATGCTGTGAAGGAGCCCACAGTTGCCACTGAGGACCATGTGTTTGACTACAGTTTAGAGCTGGACCACACTGATGACTCAAACCTGTATTTCTCACCCGAGCAAGGCAACGTCGTGTTTGCTAGTGCCATTGATGGGTGGGGTTTCAGGTGAGCCTGTCCAACTTGTATTGTTGTATTTTGAAGGAAACCAATCCTATAACTTAGCAAGGTCATTTGTTCTATTGTACATGTATATTAATTAGTATATTGCTGCCTCTTTATGTTAATAAGATGACTGGTATACAATAAGACATCAATACATATGCAACATACTGGTACATATTTTTACCGGAATCTATGCTTCCAGATTAGAACACTTTGCTAAGCAGTATGCCTCAAAACTCAACATCAAAGAGGACATCCTTCAGAAGGTTTTGTGGGGAGACTTCTACGTTCACTCCAAAACAAAGCGGGTCATGAAAGGAGCTCAGGTAAAACTTTGGAAAACTAAACTTTCCGCTCAGGCTTCATCTATAGATTTAGTTTACTATTAACAAATGTTGTGACATGGTAGACCAATTTTAGAGCAATTTTGTGTCTAATGTGTCGAAAATGTCTCTCTTTTTCTTTGATTTCTAGGCCAAAGGGAAGAAACCACTTTTTGTACAGTTTGTGTTGGAGAATGTCTGGGCTGTATATGATGCTGTTCTGGTGAGAAGGTAATGTTCCCGAACTTCATATACAATGTTTTTTAAAATTAGTTCAATTGAGTTTCCAACCTGATAAAACTATTCAATTCATATAGACTGTTATGAAACTATTCTGGACTAATATTTGGAAAAAAAAACTTAACTACAACTAAGAACATCAGAAGACCAAGAAGGTTGCAGAAAACTGGTTGCCAAAGATGCTACAACAATCTACCAGCCTGTAGAATAGGAGAGGAACAAAGGAGCAGTGTACTACTATATTACTAGTAAGTAACATGTGTGTTCATTGTCTGTTGTGTCTCTAGGGACAAGGAGAAAGTGGAGAAGATAGTGAAGTCCTTGAACGTGACCCTGTCAGCACGAGACGCCCGTCACAATGACCCCCGGGTGCTGCTGCAGGCTGTATGTGGACAGTGGCTGCCACTGTCTGAAGCTGTGTTGGGTATCCTTTTGGACATTGACCTCAATATCTTATGACACAGTCATAGATTAGTTTGATAGCCACTGGTACATATTTCAACAGGAAAGACTAAAAAGATAGGTAATCTCCATTAGCCGGCTTTGACTTCTGGATAAACATATATGTCATTTAGTACATTTTTACATTACATTTACAACAATCACTTTGTCCTTAAATTTCTCTTGAGATTATGTTGATCCAAAGTGTATACCAAAAGGTTTGATGAGGTAGTGTTGCAGACACATTGATGTGATGTTGTTCCCTAACCACTGCATGTAGCGATGACAGTGGACCAGTTACCCAGCCCACTACAGATCTCCCCTGAAAAGGTGGAACACCTCATGTGTCAGACTGCCCAGAGGTTTGACTCCTTACCTCAACCTACACAGAAGCTTAAACAAGGTACAACCTTTCTTCTTCTTAGATGAAATGTATGTCATTGTGTATTTCACAACTAAATACAGACAAAAATCACCAACCATAACTTCTAATATGTGTATGCAGATTTCCTGATGTGCAGTGCAGAGGACTCTGCTCCTGTTATTGTGTTCATCTCCAAGATGTTTTCGGTGGACCCCAAAGTGCTGCCTCATAACAGGCCAAGGTAGATGTTTGCGCCTTGATGTGTCAGTTGAAGACACCCATGGAGGGTACTTGAAATAATTAAGGGTAGCCAAAAGTCCATGCCATATTTGATGTACATGTATTGGGCACTGTCTTTTAATTTTTTCTTATGTTCCCTGATTTATTAAAAGTTTAGAAGTTAAGGAATCATAGATATATTAGAGATAATCTTTCTGACCTTTTTTTAAAACCAGTGACAATATGTATTTCTTTCAGACCTCTGACTCAGGAAGAGATAGAGAAGAAACGTGAACTTGCCAGACAAAGGCACCAGGAGAAGTTGGCTGCCCTCACCAGTCAGACACAGGAACCTCAGCAGGAGCAGGCTACCGAGGAAAATGGTTTGTAAATTACATATGGTATGTAGTGCAGTAGTGATAACAATAGAATTTCAACGTCATCTTTAGTTCACCCCTTACTATATAGGTGCTTCTTCTTCTTCTTTCATTTTTTTCATTTTGAGGCGGTCACCTTCAACTACCTGAAGATTCTGCTGCCCTTTTGTGGCTAATACGAGATGGGGTTCACCAGGCCTCCATCCAGGAAAGTCGTTTAAAGTGCCTTTCCCAAGAGCACAAGATCAGTGACATGGCAGGGTTCGAACCCGGGACCTCTTGGTTCTGAGTGGAACGCTCTGTCATTATGTCACACGACCCCACAAAGGCACCACATGCTTTATCAACATGCTTTATTATGTCTCTCCCAGGGAACAACACCTGTTCAACAACCATTCTTACCAATAAAAAGGAGAAGGTGGATGACGACTCCAACGTCTTTGTTGGATTTGCTCGAGTGTTCAGTGGAAAAGTGAAGAGGGGGCAGCAGTTATACATCCTGGGACCCAAACACAACCCCTTACATGCCCTGCAGCAGTTGTCTGATGCACCTGGAGATCTCTCACAGCTGAAGCATGTGGCAGCTGTCATGGTGGAGGACTTGTACCTGTTAATGGGAAAGGAGCTGGAAACTGTTGATGAGGTGCCAGCTGGCAACATACTAGGTAGGCCAAACTTGGGAAGTAGAATTAATGGATGGTATTAAATGTACATTGCATTTTTGGTTTCTGCTTGTGATACCATATTTGATAGTCAGGTCTAGAAGATTTGTAAACACCTGTATTTGAATGTCTGAACAGGAATTGGAGGTCTTCAGGCCCATGTGTTGAAGTCTGCCACTGTATCCAGCACCATTGCCTGCCCTGCCTTCTCTCCTGTGTATCTAGATGCTGCACCCATTGTCAGGGTGGCTGTTGAGCCCAAACATGCAGGTATGGATACTGTGTAGCTACTATAGAGTACTAACTCAAGAGTTTGATAAAAGTAGAAACTTCATTAAAATCTATTGAATTATATCTACAAGCATTTTTTTCATTTTCATGCAAGCAGAAATTTTAGAGAATACCGGTACTTATTTCTAATACATTTGATGGTAGATGATCTAATATGGTAGAAGAAAGTGAGAAGATAGCAGCATTGTCTAATAGCTCAAAAAGTAGTATTATTGTGATATGGCATTTTTCCATATTATGGTACATTGCTGACCACCTCCTCCCCAGGAGACATGAGTGCCCTGATGCAGGGTTTGCGGCTGTTGAACCAGGCTGACTCGTCTGTGGAGGTTCTGGTGCAGGAATCAGGGGAACACGTCCTGGTCACTGCTGGGGAGGTCCACCTGCAGAGGTGCCTGGACGACCTGACACAGAGGTGCTCATAACTATCCTGAACTTGTGCCTGCTACTTGTATGTTAGTGTCGAGGATTCTTGGTGGTTTACGAAATCAAACAAAATTCATCATATCTCTGTGGTGATCTGAGCAGTATCTTAATATTATCAGGAAGATAAAATGAATTGTGACTGTTCATAGATAGAAGGTATCATACTAATGCTCCACCACCTGATACGTCAACAGGTTTGCCAAAATTGAGCTGAATGTGTCGGACCCCATGGTGCCATTCCGAGAGACGATCATCCCCCCTCCTAAGGTAGACATGGTCAATGAGGTCATTGACCATGACACAAACCGCATCACCAAGTCTGGAAAGGAAGCTACAGATGAAAAGATAAAATGGGGTAACTGTTATACCTCTGTTTGTTATACAATAGTCCTTCAATCCAAACCTTTAAATAAATAAAATTTAACTGGTCTTTCCAACAACAAATAAGTTTTTACTAGTCTACTTTCAACCACAGAAAATATGTTGTAGTTGTCAATCTTTACACAAATCTAAAGTATCTTTTTTTAAGATTTTACTGCTATGTACTTGTTGTTGTGTGTCATAGACACTGCAGCCATCACTATCCATTATTTCCAGGTGGGCCTGTCCTGGTACAAACTCCAAACAAACTGTGCAGTTTGAAGGTGAGTGCCATGCCTCTGCCTGAGGACATCAGCAACCTTCTGGACAATAATGCAGACCTGCTCCGCACACTGGACAAGATGACCAAGTCAAGCGGGGACATCAGTCGCCATCAAGCTGAAAGAGCAAAGGTCACAGCAGAAACACTGAATAGATTAACTGAGCTGAAGTCCACTCTTGAGGCCAAGTTTGCACAAGCAGGTAAACATTACAGAGGTGCCATAGATCAGATCTGGGCATTTGGACCCAGGAGAAATGGTCCAAACATACTGCTGAACAGGGTTGCAGGTTATCAGCGACCATCGGTGTGGGACTCCATAGACAAGGGAGAGGTGAAATCAGCAGCACAGTTTCGACCTTTTGACCATGCCATTGGGAGTGGGTTTCAGCTGGCAACCCTGGCAGGACCACTGTGTGAGGAGCCCCTCATGGGAGTGTGCTTTATGGTGGAAGAGTGGACCATGCACGGACAACTGTCAGAGAAGAGAACAACAAAAAACAATGATGCTCTGACAAACGATTTCTCTAACGCTGCAGTATCAAGAGAGGAGGAAACAAGAACTGAAGGGGAGAGTGTGTCATCTGAACACTCAGATGCCTCAGATACTGTTGGTACGTCTATGTCTCCTTGTAGTCACTTTGTCTCCCCCAGGGAACACAGACTGTCACAAGGAGTGGATGAGGACTCTGAGTCCAGCGGAGATGACTCTGACAGGGAAACAGCCGAGTCAGACTTCATGAATCGTCACGGCCCATTCACAGGTTGGTTAGACTGTTAAAAGATTTTCAGCTTAGGTCAGATAAAATGATTCAGAATATACATTTTTAACCTAAATTGTTCATATTTTGACACCTACAATTAAAGAAAATCCTTGTCTTCCCAGTGTTTCCTTTCATTTGTGCATTAAAATTAAAAGTTTTAAATGTTAATGAGCCTTCAATTTTGCTTCAGGTCAGCTGATCTCTACAATGAAGGAGGCCTGCCGACGAGCTTTTCAGAAACACCCCCAGAGATTGATGGCTGCCATGTATACTTGTGACATCCAGGCCACAGCAGATGTACTAGGTGAACCATGCTTTATTACTGAAACCCATCATGCTTACATATCAGTTACCATGTACTGTAGTTGTATTTTAAATATTAAAGTGAAGGTCTTGCAGGCACATTCTCACAATGAATATGCCTGGTTTGTATTGAAGGCAAGATGTATGCTGTGCTTGGTCGAAAGAATGGCAAGGTTCTGAGGGAGGACATGAACGAAAGTCTCTCAGTCTTCAGCATCCAAGCAGCACTTCCAGTGGCAGAGAGTTTTGGCTTTGCTGAGGAAATCAGAAAGAAAACAAGTGGACTGGCCAGCCCTCAGCTGGTGTTCAGTCACTGGGAGGTGAGTTGGACAACTGTCCATATACATTGTACTAAGTAATAGACTTGACTCATCTCAACATATTGGGTATTTTACATGTGATAATAAAATTTTCACTTCACTCCTTAAAATTAAGTATTGTCTAATTATTTCTGGTAAGATGAATCACATTTAGATATAACTACATGTATTTCTGTCTTATAATGTATCAAATTGAACAATCAGGTATTTTCTAAGGTCTCCCATTTCCGTTTCAGGTTGTTAACAGTGACCCATTCTGGGAGCCAATTACTGAGGAGGAGTTGATGCACTTTGGGGAGAAGGCTGACTCTGAAAATCAAGGACGTCTGTACATGAATAGTGTCCGGCGGCGAAAAGGACTATACGTTGATGAGAAAATAGTAGAACATGCTGAGAAACAGAGAACCCTATCCAAAAATAAGTGAATGCACCTTTTCCTCTTAGCTAGTTTCCCATTGGGGCATTATAATTGGCACAACCAAGTTTAATATCCTCTGATAGCATTCTCATGGATTAAATGTTTATTTCCCTATTCAACTAGTTCTTTTCTACTAGAATACAAATCTTTGATGACTGCTAGTAGTATGACTTGTGTATTCACTGGTATCTAAAATATGTAAGACATATTGTTAGACATATTGAAAGAATGACAGAAGCATTTGACCTAAAAAAAAGGAATGCCACTTTTGTTGTACATTTTTGTCTGTGACACTGACAACTTAATGAAATTCAAAGGTCAGTACTTAGGGTAGAACTTTTTACTTTTGCATTCCTTACAAATACACTATTAGTATATTTTAGTGATACTGAAGGTGATTGACTGGTAGGCTGTTTCTTCTTCAATATAGTAAAAGAAGTGAACTTTGGTTGAGACTTCCTTTTCCTGATTCAAATCAATGCTTTCTGTTGAGATGCTTAGTGTTACCCAACACACATCTCCCATACCTACAATATATAAGCACTGGTCATGTACATCACAAAAGAGTACACAAAGTATCTGACAATAATTTTTATTGTAAAAAATAGTACTGTCAATATAGGATATCCACAGGCTTCATATACTTGTTCCCATGATTTCCAACTTGTACACTGTGACTCTGCCAAAGAAGTCTGTGCTACTGGGAAATACTATCCGTAACCTCTTGACTGATGGTGCCTCCTTCACTGTAAATCTGTGGTATTGGGTTATGGAAGAATCACTGACAAGGGAAGGTATAAAAAAACAACCACAAGAAAGAGTGATTTCAACTATGATTTCAATTCTAACACAAAGACATGGCTGTCTTTTTTCTTTCTTCCTGTAAGCATTAATGTTGAACAAAAATTATACATCATACATTGTATATGTGTTGGAAACAAAAGGATATTTGCAGAGAGTTGACATCCTCTGGGTAGAAGTCCATGAACCTTGCTAACTCTCCACCGCCACTGCTGACCTCCAGTCTGCAGTCTTTTCCCACAAACCCTCCCTGGAACTGCAGCTGGATTTCCTGTGGGCACACTTCTTCTGAAAACTCCACCAGAATCCACTGTGGACTCCCCTGTGACAAACAAACAACGACTTAGTGTGGTAAAATCATCATCAACTGAGAATCATAAGAGTACACCTCAGGCTGCCCACTGTAAAGTAAACAAGCTTCATGATTCACTGGGAATGATGATATGAGGGAAATATGAGTACCTGGTCTGAATTCCAGCAAGTCTCCTCGTCACCGTCGAACATGAACTTTTTGCCAAACTGTTTCACATCCCTGTTAAGTACAGAGCTGACCCTACAGAAAAGAACACACAAAGTTTTATTTGTCATATTTGCAATAGTCATTGCAACATGAATAGCTCACACCATGCAGCATGGTATACTGTAGCAAGGAGAAAGTAAATCTAGCGTTGAGAAGCATGGATTAAAGTAGGCCTATTGTAGAATAGACTAGAGAAGTGTGGGGTAGAGTTAAGTTGATCTAGCGGAGCACAGTTTGCGTTTCCTACCTTACTTTGGGAGCAGGAAGTGGTCCATCCTCACGAGTCAAAGAAAACGCCATAATTGCGGCATATTCCACTCTGATACGGGGAAGACACTTCTAACATTGAGCATGGAGTAATGACTATTCAATAACACATTATCTTACATTACTATCGCAAGTTCAAACATATTATATATATATATTTTCAACTCATAATGCATATTTGGATAAACAAGAGTGATTTTGTGCTTTTCATGAAAATATTTGTCACCTGGAAAAGAATGGGCTGGTCCAACTTACACATGCGCACTTAGTGTCACTTCTGGTGATCACACCGCAGGTCATACCTCGCAGGTCAGACGCTGCTTCTCTTTGCTGTCAGAAGAACACCTAAATTATCCTTAAACATGAGCACCTTGGTAAGACAATTCTTACAGAAGAACCACACGTTAAAGGTCTTCACAGGAGACAAATATCGGGAGCTGGCCAATAACTGGTGAGTAAAACGGGTCGTGTCGACAATGACCTTCTCGTGTAAGGGGGTGGGGGGCTACTTGTAACGTTACATGGGCATCTTTAGTGTACTGTGTGTACTGAAGTCTTTTTCATGATTTAAAAAAATCTAGAATTTGGCCAGATGAGATTAACAATTTACCAGTGGAGTAGGTAGTCACCAGGTGTTCCAGTGCTGATTCAGTAGTCAAAACTGCGTCAGCACTGGATGGCCAGTGCTGAAGAAAGTTGAGCACTGGTTTCCAGAGCTGATCGGCTTTGTTCCAGTGCTGAAGCTTCCTCAGCACTGGAATTTGAACACTGTCTCTGCACTCTGTTTCCAGTGCTGAACGTTCTTTCAGCACGCTGCTTTTCCAGTGCAGAGAGTGCCTCATCACTGGAAGCCCAGTGCTGGCAACTATTCAGCACTCGAAACACCATTTTCTGCGCACTGGAACCAAGTGCTGGGAAAGAAGAGCATGGTTTTCATAGTTTCCAAGGTAGACCATAGAGACCAACATGTGCCCAAAGTGTTATGAGTTATGCAATGCCGTTACAAGATGATGTTTCTCCCATGCTTCAGGAAAGGCACAGCGGCAGTGTGGGGAGGACTGGGAGCCATAGCAGTGGTGTGGGCCACAGACTGGAAGGCTGTGTTGAAGTTTGTGCCGTACATCAGGGGGAAATTCATCCAGAAGGACGAATAACATCATGTACACTTTGTACAGTCTTCATTAGTACTGAGGTGAGATATCATTGCTAATCAGGGTCTGCTTGTTATCCAGAAAGTCTTACCTATACCAAGGAAGTTCCTTGACTATACTGTGTTGTTGCCACAGAATTTCAGGCTTCAGTCTTTAATATGATAAGATAGTGGGAAGGTAGAAAATGTTTCACCTCCTTACAACTTGATACTAAACCTGAAGTCTGAAGGTAACGATTGCTAGTTCATTTGTGTGCACTGACCAAATTTTTATCTCTACCTTTACAGATGGATGAGGAAGATTACAAGTTTCCAGAGCTTCTGCTGAGATGATACCATTGTTGCTGATTTTATAACCATGAGCACATCTACAGTCATTTGGACACATGTTACAATGATTCCGATGTTAGTGCTTCTTGGAAAGTTTAGATGTGGGTATGAGATGATGGGCACCAGCTGAATTCATTCGACTTCTTCAACGTAATAAACCAATTCTATTGGTCCAAAATTCTTGTTTGTGCCTATCTTTATTGAGTGTTTGCTAACTATTAATAAGTAACAACTACCATACAGTGATCAGTCATAGGTTGGAACACTGGTTTATACATACCCCTTTGGGTTATATAAAAATAAGCCAAAGCTTAAGCCTCTGCTTGGAAAGTACTGCTTTGATGGTCTTAGATTATTAGGTTTGCCATGAGGTCAAAAATTGCTCAATAGTCAATTTCCCCAACTTTGCCAAAATGGGCCAACCTTATTCAGTGCATATAGTAGTGATTCACTTAGATATCAACAATGTAGTCATAGAACATCTGGAATGCCCTTCTTACACCTCTACCAGGGTAATCTAGTAGCCAGTGAAGTTTTCATGCCAAAATGTATAGCATTCATGGTCAATAGAATACCATGATACCTTAAAATGATGTTTACATTGATTTCCAGTGGAAATTGTGACAAATAATTAATATGTGAAGTTTTCACCTCATACTCCAGAAGTGATACTAGTAAGCAGAGCCACTTGCACTGTACTTGTGTACAATTTTTTGCTAACACAAACCAATTCTATTTATGCATTACACAGCTTGACAAACAAACTAATTAAGTGGCAATGAATAAATGAATAATGCTAATACTAAATGACTCACAATTAGCATCATCTGCTCATTGGTTGTCTGTTAAAACGCAGAGTGCAAATGTACAGTTGTACAAAGGTATGTATACACAAACAGAGAAGTAACAATAGCCAGAATCATTTTTTTTAAGAACTAGCTTTTCATTGTACTGAAATTTAGAACTCTGTGCAGAAAGCAACACATTATTAGTCAAAACAAGAAGTTTGTAACATCTTCATCATATTATGTGAAACAAAACAAGACAGGCTCGCACCATCCAACTTCCAGATTGGCACATACGAATGAAGAAGTATTATATGTTTAGCAACTAAAAGAAGATCGTGCCCTGGCGTTGCCACTCGCTACTGCCTTGAAAAGTGCCGGAAAGTTTGTGTTCCTCTTTGAATGCCGAGGCAGTGCAGGGGAAGAGGGAAGGCTCGTCACGTGGGCCCGGTGATCAGGTAGCCTGCCTTTGTTGTTTCCCACAGAAAACGGTTTGTTATAACCAAGTCCGGAGATGGCTAGTCTGTGATACCTGTCCCTAGATCCGTTATCCGTGTGTTTTCGTGTTATATGTGGTAGAAAGGTTGACCCACGGTCTCGAGTAGCTCCTGGGGTTCTTCCTTGTTGCAGACAACTTTTTGAGCGATTGTCTGGACTAGTAAAGCCTTCGTTTCGCGGCAAACCCATGAATGGCAACGCTCTGAATCCAGAAACGCCGGAGTAGTGTCCTGCTGAGCGATCGGTTCGTGTGATCCCCATCCACTGGGTATCCGTGCGGTTCTCGGTGTTTTCTGAGTCCGAATCCTCGTCTGAACTACTGTAGGGAGTAGGAGGGGGAGTTCTCCACGATACCTAGCAGTTTTGTAAAGAATTGCGCACGATGTCATCACATAACTAGCACATCGAACAATGTATCAAAATTGCAGTTGATTATTGAAAAAGAAAAAAGAAAAGGAATAGCCCATACCTTTTTCAGCTCCGTCACCGCGTCACTCTGAAGTAATGCGTCACTTGGCCTACGCCTCATTTGCCCGGCCCGTGCGGCGCGGGACAACTCTGCCAGTCCGTTCAAAGTGAAAACGTTTGTCTCTACCCCCTCCGTTCGTTCCTGGATGATTTTGTTCCTCTTGTCCCTGAGGATCTCCATACGCCGCTGTACCTGGCGCACCCTATAGTCGTGGGAGGACAGGAACACCGTTTCCTCTCTCTTCAGGTTTTGTATAGCTTCATCAAACTTTCGCATCTCGACGCGTTTCTGGACACAGTACTGCTTGTCCAAAGTAGATACGGCAGATCCTGCCTCTGTCATGACACTGTCAGGACTGGCTTGGCGGACTTTGCCGCAAGTGCTGAACTTACAATTTTGCATGAACGGTTTATTGGAGCCAATGATGGGTGCGGTGATGAAAGATTAGGCGAGATTAAATATATCCCGAGGGATGGCGGCGACAGGTATCGGTCAAACGCAGGCGACAGATCACGTAGTTTTGTCCCAGGGGGATGATATACATCGTTATTGCTGTAAATCCACTGGGTATTGTACGGCATGATATTGGCACCATACCTATCATTATATCTACCGACAAAGGACGAGTCAAAAGTCGAGTGCAATTTCAGTGAATATCTAAGAATAAGATATGTAATACTAAGTCTTTTCTCTTTTGGAGAATGATTTTGAATTATAAATATCTATGAGACACAAATAACTGTAATGTATCCGCTGTTCATGGCTGCCCAAGCCCAAGGCTCCCGGCATCACAAATTAAACTGCTCGCTGGGACAACAGTAAGGTGCAGAAATCGAGCCTTTAGTTTAGCATCAACGGGCCACGCGACCATCGATTTTATATAGAAAGATATAGAAAGAAAGTTTATTGCAAATACATGCCCGAGGGCTAATTGCAGTTACAAACAACATAAGAAAGAAAATACAGTGGTATGTGAGACTATATATACCTCTAGCATTATACTATATTCTACAACATGCATGGTACTAGATTTACTGGGTTTGACTTCTTCTTTTTAGGCAGTGGAAGACGAATAATTCAAGGCGTTATGGAAGTTATGTCAGTTTGTTGCACCATGAAATAGGACAGCATATAAAAGTTATCCCGTGAAAGAAAAAGCACAATAGTTTACCCCTGAATGATACCGTCTTCGGAAATTGATTGTGTAACGTTATACTGGTAACGTTATTATTAACTTATATGGTCTTATATGGTTTCCCCGTTCCAAACATTTTCAAGTATCATTGCTTTTCAAGTGAACTTTACGTTATGCTTGACCATACTTAATCTGGGTTTGTAAATTTCGTAGAGAAGATGGGCCGACACAGGGTGCAACGTTAGGTTACGTTTTCAGGCGCTATTCAGAGGAAGTGATCCTTCACCCCAACATCTGCTTGAAGATTACAAATTTGTGACGTCAGCACGCGTTCAAGATGGCGGCGCTCATTCAGAACATGCGATCGTGCCTGGTCGTTGGCAAGTCGTGCAGTTTTACCTGGCATCCCAAAATGCTTGCAAGATCATGCATGACGAGTGTTCAAACTATTCCTTCAGTTGACGTAGAACAGGAGAAGAAGCCGCTGTATCCTCCCGTTGTACCGTCCCTCACGTCAAACTCGGAAGGTCAGATGTTAGGGGAAAGGGGGGGGGGGGCTGTCCCTTGCTATTAATAAATTTGTAGCGATGAAATTTGTAGCATAAATTACTAAATGTGCTTTCATTTTCATTACTAAAGTAGGCTAATTAGACACGTTGACACAAAGGAGCAGTGTTTCACACATATTATCTACCATAGGCTGACTGCTGTACAGTGTAGAACAGCATGGACAAAATGTGAATGTATTTGTGTAGGGTTTCCATAAATTTAGTTTCATTCTCATTGTTTGCAAACAAACGCCTTCAAATTCATGTTACAGAGAAGAATGGCATGTTGGAGATTTTCCATCTACCTTCACGATATGTTGTTGTAATGTGAAATTCACCTTCTCTCCCCTGATTGTATAAAGCTATAATGTGAGAATCTGCAAGTGCAACACCTTTTTTCATGTCAGGCATGTTTTCACTTCCTGCAGTTGCCAAGAAGTACAAAAGACAGCTGATTAGGCAAAAGATTGCCTCTCTTTCATCACCGAAGGACAAGATCACTGCCTTGCTGCAGCAGAATCGTAAAGCCTACATGCTGTATGCTCTGGGACGGCGCTACAATGTTCATGCTTACCAACAATGGGTGACAAAGACAACAGTGGTGAAGCAACTGCCAGAGTCCATTACAGATGTAACGTTGGACGACAGATTTGAGCAGGTCAAGTCTCAGGTATGTTATGGAAGTGACTCAGTCATCTTAATCAAGATATTATTGGATCATTTGATTTTGCGAACTCTCCCTATGAAAACGTGTTACTACGTTGTTTCAAATTCAAATGTGAGCCAAATGATACTGTAAACACTTGATTTTCATTGTGTTGCAAAGTGTGAGTGCTGCAAAAATAAATGAACTTGTAGCATTCGATATAGTTTATTGACATTGTTAGTTCAAACATTAATGTGCAAATGTATGCAATTTTTTCCCCTGTGAAGGTAATGGATCTCATACTACAAGAGAGGCTTTACATGAAGAGGAATGATAAGAAGTGGAGGGAGCCATACCGCTTTGGCGTGGTGTTTACAAAGGAGCTGGCACGTCTCCTAACCACTGCTGTCAGCGGTGGAGCACCCCATCTTGCCACAGCTAACATAATCCATGATCCCAAGGTAGAATACTGCTGGCCACATACAGAGTACTGGTGCCAGCTGCTGGACCAACCAGACATCCAGATCCTTACACAGCATCCCTTACCACAGGTCAGTTCACAACAATGCTGTCTTCCTTTTCCCTTTGTGTGGGTACTGAGAAAGTCCTGTTTGCATATGAGGTTTGAAAATGGATGAATAAACCTATGAAACAGTAGCTATCATACCTGTAGCCAGGATTTTGAATGGGGTGGTTCTTCCCACTGCTTGAGGGGACCAGCGAGTGCCAAAGGCGCGAGGTTCCTAGGCGGTCCGGGGGAAAATTTTGAAAAATGAATGCATTTTTGAGAGGCTTTCCAAGAAAAAATCAGAGATAAATTTTTATTCAATGACAAAGGGAGCAGTTTTTCTACGATTCCAGTCCATCTTTTCAAGCAAAATCTTGGACCTTTACATAAAAAGTGGACCAAAAAGTGGACCTTTACATAAAAAGTGGACCAAAAAGTGGACCTTCGAGCCTTGTGGGGGGTTCTTCTGAACCCCCCCTGGCTACGGGCATGGCTATCTATCGTAATTGAATTTGTAGACCCAGATGTCCAGTACTGTAGACAATGAATATGCTTACACTTGCATTTAATTTGTGCATACAACACTGATGTGTTTATGGCCTTTTTTGTCCAGTATTGCCCAATGGACAGTGATGCGAGTATTGATGGTGAAATCCCTGTCTATGAGTGGTCTCCTAGCCATCTTGCTATCTTTGAGAGGACCAGAAAACGTACCATCTTTCCAGGTATGCTATTCTGCCACACAATATTCACCTTGCTGTCGTATCATATCACCTTTATTGAAATTGAGAGATGCTACCAGTCAGAATTTGGAGCAAAACAGGTCTCAGTTACATTTCTATTTTCATTTCCATCAATCACTAGGTAGACAGGTAGGTATTGTATATGCCATAATATTGCTTGACATTCTTTATATAACAGGCTTCAAGATTGAGTCCCCTACCCAGTGTGGACACACCCAGTTCCGTGTGTTCTCTAAGGACATCAGCAGGGAGAAGTTTCAACAGGACCTGCATAGGGACAAGACTGGGGACCAGCTTGAGCTAAGGATCATGGGGGCTGCGGTCATGGGTCTGTTTGGGTGGACAGCAGCACAGGCTTTCTATAGAGGTTTGAATTTGATCTCTCATTTCTTTCACTCATGACATTTCTAAGACATACAGAGACAGTTGCTTCTACATTTCTTACTGGTGTTCAGTATCTACAGTTCTGTTGTAAATCTGCTGCTGTTTCAAATAAGCAAGCTGGCATTATTATTCAAACTAAAAGTATACTCTCTATATACAGGATTCACTTGGTACCAGGACTTGCAGTACCCCATCACTTCACAAGCCATCCTTACAGATGGCCGTTACTTCACGTTTGGGTGCTATCAGCTGAACACACTCAGTCTTCAGCAGGAAGACAACCCACTGAGGAATGTCCTGTTCTACCAGGACAGCCAGCCTCTGTATGATGACGTCCAGGATGGCCAAGTTGTTGGTTTCAATGACAATGTGTTAAGGACACTGTTACAGGTGTTGGGAAACCGCACAGAGCCCCTTCAGGTTGAGTGGGGCCCAGAACCGGTACCCTTCAACCCTCCCACTCGCTTCAACTATCACCTGGAAGACACCCAGGAAAACATTTTCTTCAAGCAAATGTATGCACCACACCTAAGGAAGGATCTCTCGGAAAAGAGAGTTGTGCGTAAGCTGAAGAACTTCAAGGACCATAGACTAGGGAAGAATATTGGCTCTAATGTCAAAGACATTTACCAGCTTGACTCTAACCCTTCTGTCAAGAAGTTCAAAGGAGAAGACTAAAAGAATAGAAATCAAGGCTTTGTGAGGGATTATAGAGAGTATATGTGATCATTGATGCAGGAGATTTTACTTCCCTGCCTTCAAGACTGGATATATTTGTACACGTAGTTGTTTAGAATTATGATATGGCAAATACATGTACTGCTATTTGACTTATTAGTAAATTTACAACAACAAAAAGAAGACAAACAATAGATAGGTATCACAATGCCTTGTCATTTTGTACTATGAATTACATTGTGTTCCTGCAAAAGTTTGTAAATGTAGCTCTATCTGGTTCAAAGATTACTATTGACATATGGATCAGTACTTGTAACATAATTAGTATATCCTTTGGCCTCCACTAATTTCAGGTCACAATTTCAAGTACATGAGTTTTATTGTTTTACAGAAAAGCTATTATTGTAGCGTTTCCTAATTGAATGAGAAAATACATTATGCAAGAGCCCCACCTTTCACTGGTATCACTTCTTCCTGAGCCAAAAAGCAACTAAATCATGACTCTAGGGGAGATGCCAAATATTACAAAGTGATTTCAATTTTCAAGTCCCAACATAATGTCCTTGATACTAGTGCTAGTATTAAAATTCACCCATAGCTTCCTTCTGTTCACACCAAGAAGATGTCCTTGGTTCACACACACACACACACACACGCGCGGACGCGCACGCGGAGTCGAGAGATACTAGTGTCACTAGCAGCCAGAGGCACTTCTGTGGGGCAGGTTTATAAAAATCCCCCCTACCAACGAATGGAATGGTCCGTAGTCAAAATGGCGGTCATAGACGAAGTAGTAAAGGTAACTTGGTGACCTCGTACACTTTGGAGCAGAATGGGAACTCCAGAAATAGACAATGTGATCGAACGGTGTCTCCAGAAGCAGGAAGCTGTTCTGAACTTAAGTCACCGAGATATCAGCGTCCTGCCACCAACGGTACGTCAGGTGACACATGTCAGACGACTCCTTCTCAACAACAACAAACTTCTTATGCCGCCCACCGAACTCTTGGCTTTGCAGCAACTTGAAGAACTGACTTTGGACTGTAACAGCCTGACTCTGCTTCCGACTGGAATAGGTGAACTCAGCACACTGACTTACCTGAGTCTGAGCAACAACAGTTTGGGTTTTCTTCCCGGAGAAATAGGTAAACAAAAATATGTGTGGGGAGGGGGGCTGTTGTAACTTACTAGTATAACATGTCGGTTGGAAAGTCACTCGACGGGATATGGAATTGAGAGAAAAAAAAGAGAGACATACATAATATTAAAAATAATCTCTTTGTCTAGGTTCGCTGGAATGTCAGTGTGCCGTCGCTCTACCATATTCTATCCTATTACCCTGTTGTTGGACAATACCCCCAGTCTGTCTGATAACCATATAAACCAGGCTAACGTTACATGTTACAATAGGCCTTGCGGTGCCGGTGCATCACACCCGAAAACTATTATTCCGCAATCGACAGTGGTGGTGCAAATAAAACAACAAAAGAGATCAATAAGAATGTGAATACTAGTAAATAAAACTTTGCCTTTTGATGTATATACAACTGCAAATCACGTTAACAGGTGGGAAACAAAAGTCATTTTGGAATGTTTTTTCAATGTAGGGAGGCTGCAAGATTTAACCCAACTGTGGATAGCTGACACCAACTGATGGGCCTTCACCAGAATCGGTCTACTCCAGAAGCT